CCCCAACACAGTAGCATTTACTTCTTTTACAACCCCATCTATGAATATATTAAACAACCATGGTGACATTACACATCCCTGTCTAAGACCTACTTTTACCAGGAAGTAGTCTCCCTCTCTTCTATACACCCTAACCTGAGCCTCACTATCCTCATAAAAATCCCTGACCTAATCCCATTTATTCCTCTCCACTGAAACTCCCCATCAGCTTTGTTTCACTTAAAGCCAGAACATCCAGCTTCTTCTCATTCATAACATCCACAATCATCTCTTTCTTATCATTCGCACAACATCCACGCACATTCAGACATCCCACTTTGACAATTTTCTTCTTATTCTTTTTAGTAATTATTACAGGACAAGGGGTTACTAGCCCATTGTTCCCGGCATTTTAGTTGACTTTTACAACACGCATGGCTTACGAGGAAAGATTCTTATTCCACTTCCCCATGGATATAAAAGGAAAAGTAGTAAGAACAATAACTATTAAGATAACATCAAAGAAAACTCAGATGAGTGTGTATAAATAAACATGTACATGTATGTGTAGTGTGACCTAAGTGTAAGTAGAAGTAGCAAGACCTGTAATCTTGCATATTTTTGAGACGGACAAAAGACACCAGCAATCCTACCATTATGCAAAACAATTACACTACCAAGTGAGTGTAAAACGGAAACCTGTAATTGTTTTACATGATGGTAGGATTGCTGGTATCTTTTGTCTGTCTCATAAATATGCAAGATTACAGGTATGTCTTGCTACTTTTACTTACACTTGGGTCACACTACACATACATGTACAAGCATATATATACACACACCCCTCTGGGTTTTCTATTTTCTTTTTAGTTCTTGTTCTTGTTTATTTCCTCTTATCTCTATGGGGAAGTGGAACAGAATTCTTCCTCCGTAAGCCATGCGTGTTGTAAGAGGCGACTAAAATGCCGGGAGCAAGGGGCTAGTAACCCCCTTCTCCTGTATATATTACTAAATATAAAAGGAGAAACTTTTGTTTTTCCTTTTGGGCCATCCTGCCTTGGTGGGATACGGCCAGTTTTTTGAAAAAATAAGAAAATTTATATATAAACCATACCACGGGCGGGGATAGAACCCGTGATCAGAGAGTCTCAAAACTCCAGACTGTCGCGTTGGCCACTGGACCAGCTAGCCACGTCCAGTGGATAACGCGATTTGTGGCTAGCTGGTCCAGTGGCTAACGCGACGGTCTGGAGTTTTGAGACTCTCTGATCGCGGGTTCTGTCCCCGCCCATAATTAATTAAATAATTAATAAATATTAATAAATAATTAAATAATTAATAAATAATTAATCTAAACATGCACTGTTTGGGTTCCTCTAAGATTTAAGTAATACAAGACATTACTTTCATATACTCGACATAATCTGCTTTAATGAGTAATTAATAAATATACAAATAAGACATTACAATACACAAATTCCATTAACACAGATATACATAGTATCACCTAAGACAGTCTTTTCAAAGACCTAATACACTGGGAATATTACTTTCTCAAGAGAGAGTTTCAAGCATACACAGTAGACTGAGCCAAAGCTGAATGAGTACAGTTTTCTCCTTATACACACATATGGGCTAAGTACAAGCCTCTAAAGCTTTATAGCGTGAACCTTTCTATGATCTCTTCTGCCAGAATATAGAAGCTCCCTCAGCATAGTCAAGAGACTGCCTAGACAAACCCTTGTGAACCACAGGTCACATCGGGTCACGTGATATACGTACTTAACATTTGGCACCAACTTGTGACATCGCTAACCAGCCATACTTTTGAACTGTGCAATGATAATTATGTACTTTTACATATAAATGAGCTCATAACCAGACACATGAATACATATACTCATTTCTTTAATAATCAAATAACACAAACATATTATGAAGAATGAATAGGATAATAGCACAACGATCCAGTAGCTCCGTTTTAGCTAACAACGAAGTTACTAGCATGGTAGTATTATCTAAGTGATGAAATACATACGGGATATCGTAACAGCAGGTTATTTGTGTATTATTCCAGTCATGGTATTGTGCCTTTTTTTTGTTATTTACTACACTGTGCTTATAGATATAAGGCATAATAAGCATGACTTGCAAGTAATACACAGTTTCACTTGATCAGAAATCAGACCTGACGACTCTACATTGTGTGCAATACCTGTTGGTTTATGAGCCGCTCTCTGAGACAGAGAGACAAGCAGACAGACAGACACACACACACAGGCAGACAGAAAGACAGACACACACAGGCACACAGAAAAAGATACACAGACAGACATGTTTATGTGTAACAGTGAAAACAAATAAACCAAGGGTTCCCTGCAGCAGTGCACGATCATCAAGTGTCACTCAACTGCTGCACTGTCAGCAGTGGAATGACACTCGTCTTACACAGTGCTTCAAGGAGTTTCATATATACTCCATGCCTAAAACATTGCTGGGAACTATAAATCTTTCTTCTTTCAACACACCGGCCGTATCCCACCGAGGCGGGGTGACCCAAAAGAAAAAACGAAAGTTTCTCCTTTTACATTTAGTAATATATACAGGAGAAGAGGTTACTAGCCTCTTGCTCTCGGCATTTTAGTCGCCTCTTATGATAAGCATGGCCTACGGAGGAAGAATTCTGTTCCACTTCCCCATGGAGATAAGAGGAAATAAACAAGAACAAGAAAAAAAATAGAAGAAAACCCAGAGGGGTGTGTATATATATGCTTGTACATGTATGTGTAGTGTGACCTAAGTGTAAGTAGAAGTAGCAAGACATACCTGAAATCTTGCATGTGTATGAGACAAAAAAAAAGACAAAAGCAATCCTACCATCATGTAAAACAATTACAGGTTTCCGTTTTACACTCACTTGGCAGGACGGTAGTACCTCCCTGGGCGGTTGCTATCTACCAACCTACTACCTAGGGGACCTATAAATACTTTGTATATATTTCTAGACAATAGTAAATGACCAAGGCAGCTGAAAATGTTCACCTGTCGATGTGTTTGTGACTATTTGGGTACTATTTCAGTACCTAATACAGTACAGTATTAGTGTCAGAACAAAGATTGGCTATGAAATCACAAGAACTACAAATTGTAATTATCAGAACATAAAAATATATCGGCAACACTTCTGTTGTGTATCTTTATATGTGTATGCTTCTAGACTGTTGTATTCTGAGCACCTCTGCAAAAACAGTGATAATGTGCGAGTGTGGTGAAAGTGTTGAATGATGATGAAAGTATTTTCTTTTTGGGGATTTTCTTTCTTTTTTGGGTCACCCTGCCTCGGTGGGAGACGGCCGACTTGTTGAAAAAAAAAAAAAAAAAAAAAAAACTTCTGCAAGCGGCAGGGCTCCATGCTGCTGTCAGGTGAGCATCCAGTGCCAATTCTGCAGTTGTATATCTCAGTAAGTACTGGCCCTAAAAAATTTTTTTTATCTTATTACACACAGAAAATTGCCCTCTTGGAAGTAGGGGGTAGAGGAGGTTTTGTGTGCGAGGGGCTTGGACTTCCAGCAAGCATGCCTAAGCGTGTTAGATAGGAGCGAATGGAGATAAATGGTTTTTAGGACTTGATGTGCTGTTGGAGTGTGAGCAGGGTAATATTTATGAAGGGATTCAGGGAAACTGGCAGACCAGACTTGAGTCCTGGAGATGGGAAGTAATGCCTGCACTCTGAAGGAGGGGTGTTAATGTTGCAGTTTTATAACTGCAGTGTAAGTGCACCTCTGGCAAGACAGTGATGGAGAGAATGATGGTGAAAGTTTTTCTTTTTCAGGTCACCCTACCTTGGGGGAAATGGCCAATGTGTAATCTACATGCATTTTACTTCATTTTTTTTTATGCTTAGTTTATTGCAAACTTAATATATGATGGTGTAAACATGTTAACTGGCATTTATATGTAAAAATATGATGATTCACTTTACGGTGATTTTCGTTTTACATCAGTAGCCTGGAACTTAACCCAACGTATAAGCAGTGCCCGCCAGTACATCTTATGAACAGTATATGCATATACTGTATATGCATAATTTAGTTCTTCCTTGCTTAAAAGGCAGAGAGTATAAGGTTGCAGTGCTTCTCAAATTAAATATGGCATTGTAGACTTAATTTTATTCTTTAACTGTCTTCAGGAAAGCGTGGAAGGTTTGCAAAATGTTATTTTAATGGTTATACAACCCCTGCCCCTAAACTGGAGGATTACCCGGAATATTACATCTCCTAAAATATGCTACAATATTAGCTGTTTCATATAGTCGGACTTGAGTCCTGGAAATGGGAAGTACAATGGGATATTGGCAGTTTGGAGCGATATGTCGTGTATCTTTATATGTGTATGCTTCTAAACTGTTGTATTCTGAGCACCTCTGCAAAAACAGTGATAATGTGTGAGTGTGGTGAAAGTGTTGAATGATGATGAAAGTATTTTCTTTTTGGGGATTTTCTTTCTTTTTTGGGTCACCCTGCCTCGGTGGGAGACGGCCGACTTGTTGAAAAAAAAAAAAAAATTAGCTGTCTCCCACCCTGCCTTGGTAGGAGACAGCCGATGTGTTAATAAAAATAAAAAAATTAAACTGCTGTACTGTCTTTATGGTGTTAGGATGGAAGATGCAGAACTATAATGTTATAAAAAAATGCACAGTGTGAAAAGAATGTAGCTTGTTTTCATCTGCTGACTCTTCCACTCCCAAACATTTAAATACATTCAGTTCCTCCATACCCCCTCACTCCAATTTTATGTCCAATCTTGTACTGCATCGACTTTTACATACTCTCATCACTTCGCTCTTTTCCTTGTTCACTTATAAATACTTTATTTCTTTTATACTATTATTATTTAAAATAAAAACATAGAAAAAATTATACAGTACAATGTGGGAACCTCCTATTTCATTGCAAATCTTGCTATATAGTTAGTGTCCATATATAACAAGAAACATGAACATGAAATCAAGTTTCACTTACCATCGACTGAGGTCATGAGAATTACTTTGACTGGTTTTCTCTTCTTGCAGTTAGTGTCTTCAACCAATTCATATATAAAATGACGATTCTTCAGTTTTCTGCTACCAAGTGCCTTGTGAGCTTTAACTAATTCAACTCTATTCCTACGCTTAAGTATGAATGTTGTCTGTAAAAAAATTTCAATCACTGTCAGTGAGGTAATTAATGCAAATTAAACATGGGATATCACAAATTAGAATTAGATTATAAAAATGAATAAAACTAATACATGTATACTGTATTCATGGTGAACATATAAAATTTTTCTCCATGAGACAGTTTCAGACAATAATCAGAAGAGCATTTTTTTTTACTATATAGAGTATTTCAATAAAAATTAAGGGAAAGATTATTACTATGTGAGGCTGTTTAAAGAGACAAAGAGTAGAAGAATTAGATAAAGATAATAAAAATAAAGAAAATATCGAACAGAATACAGTGGATCCTTGAGTTTCGTAAGCCTCACGCTTCATAAATTTTGCCTTTTCACAACTTTTTTCATCAAAATATAGCCTTGCGATTCGTAATTTGCCTCGTCATTCGTCAGTCGTCCGGAACGCGTATGAGCGACCTCCCAGCGTCCGCGCCACACAAAGGCACCCCACACACCATTCCAAGTCAGTGTGGCATTGTTTACTGGCGAGTGACCATCACCCGACATGTTCATACGATACATTTCGTAATACAGTACATATTCCATTCTTTTTTGTGCTTGCAACTGCAAAAAAAGCTTCTAGTGCCAGCCCTTTGGTGAAGAATGTGAGAAACAAGACAGAACTTGAGAAAGAAAAAAAATTGCAAAATATGAAAGTGGCGTGCATGTGCCCCATCTTGACAGGATGTATGGGAAGCCCCATAAAACCATAGCTTCCATCGTGGCAAAGAAAAATGAAATCAAGGAAACTGTTGTTGCGAAAGGGGTAGGATATGTTCACAAAAATGAGATCGCAAATACTTGAAGATGTTGAGAATTTGTTGTTGGTGTGGATCAGTCAAAAACAGTTAGCAGGAGATAGTGTTATGCAGTTGATAATTTGTTAAAAGGCAAGGCAGTTGCATGCCGATCTAGTAAAGAAAATGTCTGAAACGAGTGCTGATGTTGGTGAATTTAAGGCCAGCAAAGGCTGGTTTGATAAATTTAAGAAGCATAGTGGCATACACAGTGTGGTAAGGCACGGCGAGGCTGCAAGTTCTGACAAATGTGCGGCTGAAAAATCTCTGCAGGAATTCAAGGATTACGTAGAGGCTGAAGGATTCATCCCCAAACAAGTGTTCACTTGTGATGAAACAGGCCTCTCTTGGAAGAAAATGCCAAAGAAGACCTACATCACACAGGAAGAAACTGCACTGCCAGGGCACAAGCCTATGAAAGACGGGATAACGTTCATGTTCTGTGGTAATGCTAGTGGGGATTTCAAAGTGAAGCCTTTAATGGTGTATCACTCAGAAAATCCCAGCGTTCAAGAAACAGTGTCGCCAAGAGTAAACTGGGTCACGAGGGAAATTTTCCTTGACTGATTCAATGAAGTGTTTGGCCCCAGTGTGAAGAAATACCTCCTGGAAAATAAATTGCCACTCAAGTGCCTCCTGGTAATGGACAATGCTCCTGCTCATCCTCCAGATTTGGATAACCAAGTGGTAGAGGAGTTTAGTTTCATCACAGTGAAGTTCTTTCCCCCTAATACCACTCCTCTCATCCAGCCCATGGACCAGCAGATTATTTCAAGCTTCCTCAAAAAACTCTACACCAAAGCAATGTTTCAAAGGTGCTTTGATGTAACTTCAGACACTCAATTGACCCTAAGAGAGTTCTGGAAAGATCACTTTAATATCCTCCATTGCATAGGCCTTATAGATAAGGCTCGGCAGGGAGTGACTTCCAGGACTTTGAACTCTGCTTGAAGAAAACTGTGGCCAGATTGTGTCCTTGACAAAGATTTTGAAGGGTTTGAGGCTGACCCTGACAACCCTATGCCAGTTGTGGAATCTATTGTGGCATTGGGGAATTCCATGGGATTGGATGTGACTGTCCAAGATGTGGAAGAGATGGAGGAGGACCACAGTGAAGAGCTAACCACTGAAGAGCTGCAAGAATCTCATCTGCAACAGCAACAGACCATAGCTCAGGAAATTGCTTGAGGAGGAGGAGAGATGGAAGAAGGTGCCTTCTTCAAAGATTAAGGACATTTGTGCAAAGTGGAGTGAGGTGCAAACGTTTGTGGAGGAACATCACCCTGACAAAGCTGTTGCAAGCCGTGTCGGCAACATGTACAATGACAATGTCTTGTCCCATTTTAGGCAAATTTTAAAGAGACGCCAGAAACAGAGTCTCTGGAACAATTTTTTGAGCAACAGGGGTCCAGTGATTCTCAAGCTGGTCCTAGTGGCATTAAAAAACAAAGAAGGGAAGTAACCCTGGATAAGGATTTGGTACCTAAATTCTCTATGGAAGGGGATTTCCCTTCCAAACAATAGTGTAACTTCTCCACCCTCTCCCCTCCTCCTGTCTTCCATACACCAACAATAGACTTCAATAAAGGTAAGTGTGATGTTATTATTGCTTTATACTTGATGTCTCATTGTTTTCTGTATGTAAATCTATATTTAACCCTTTCAGGGTCCGTCCCATAGATCTATGGCTTCACGTTCAGGGTCCAAACCGTACATCTACGCCAAAATTCTAGCGGCGTCAAATTTAGCGCGAAAACGCTCATAAGCCTACATGTGAGAGAACTGGTCTGCATGGTGGGTGTGCGCCATAAACAAAAATTCTAGGCGCCTGCATAGCATTGTGGGAACGCTGGCTCAGTTACCTTTGTTCACCATGCCTCGTCGCAAGGCAGCTCTCACTCCAAGGAAAATTGGGACTCTCCTCTTCCTATCTGATAGTTCTGACACCGATGGAAGTGGAAATGAAGACGAATTCTTTGGCTTTGATCATAGCGCAGAAAACCCTGACGATCCTCAACCTTCTACCTCTGGTGTGGGCACTCCTCAGTCTCGGTCAGTTGTACCTCATCGCAAGAGAAAATTATTATTTTCGTGTGGCCAGGCCTATGACTTCAGTAATGATGATGATAGTGACGTGGATTGTGATTTTATTGCTCTTGACGATCATTCGAGTAGTGATAGTGAGGAAACATATTCACCAGTGAAGCGTCGATGTACGCCACCGCATGCACTCGGGTAGTGTACCCTATGCAGTGCCCAGGGGACAGAGTACATCCCGGAGTACATACTGTGGCCCTACACCAGGAATAAACAGTGAAAGCGAGGATGATGTGGCTACACTTGGCATGGATAGACCACAGGCATCAGTAGATGGTGGTAGTGGTGATGGTAGTGCCATGGCCATGCGTGACTCACCAGCCCATGCTGGGACTCACGCTGCTCACTCCTCAGTTCAAGGACAAAGCGGAGCGTCAGCTACCAGCCCACCACAACCACAACTACCCGCACAACCAGCCTATGATGTCCAGTATCCACCAGCAAACTGTATCTGGGATTGGCAGAAAAATCCCAATTTTGTTCCCAAGCTCCACCACTTTGATGACTCTCAAAGTGGAATTCTATCTACTTGTCCCCTTTAAACCATGGCCAATGAATTGGAATTTTTTTAAATATTCTTTGACCAGCCCTTGATGGAAACTATTGTCAGGGAAAGTAACAAGTATTTTGAGTACACCATGGCAAATACGATCATATCACCACAGTCAAGACTACACCAGTGGAAAGAGACGACTGTTGCAGAAATGTATTTGCTTTTTGCAACAATAACGCTTATGCCTCATGTCTATAAGCATAATATAAAAGCATAATGGTCCACAGATCGGCTAATTTCTACCCCGGTCTTCAGTGAAATCATCCCAGTGAGCAGGTTTATCTTACTGTTACGTATGTTGCACTTCTCTGACAAAACCAGGCCTGACAGAAGTGACAGGTTATACAAGATTAGAAATGATTTTATGTATCTCAAACAAAAGTTCAACATGTACTTTCATCCATTCAAGAATCTTGTAATTGACGAGTCTTTGATTTTGTTCAAAGGTATTCTGTCATTCAAGCAGTATATACCGAGCAAGAGGAAATGCTTTGGTATAAAACTGTTTGTACTCTGTGACTGTGACTGTGACAGTGGCCTGGTATTGGATATTGTTGTACACACTGGATGTAAAACATTGAAAGATACCAAGATGTTTTTGGGTATCTCAGGTGACGTAGTGAGAAGCATGATGGCACCTTATCTTTTTAAGGGGCATACATTATATAATGATAACTGGTACACAAGCCCTTTACTCAGTGATTTCTTGCAAGTGAACAAGACAGATGTGTGTGGCATAGTGCGTTCTAATCATAAACATATGCCCAGGTTCAACGCAGGTGCTCGTGGTGATGACGTGCACGTGTTTACTGCCAATGACATCATGGCATTACGGTGGCATGACAAACGAGATGTCACATTGTTGACAACCATTCACCGTAACGAAATGCAAGACAGTGGCAAAGTTGATCAAGTGACTAATGAATGTATTCGAAAACCAGTGACAGTGATTGATTATACACAAAACCTGCACTTGGTTGGCAAATGTGACATGCAGATTGGCTTTGTTGATTGTGTTCGTAAGAGTTACAAGTGGTACATGAAACTTTGCTTCCATCTCATAGACATTTCAATGCTCCGTGCATATAATATGTACCAAATGAAGACTGGCAACAGACCACCGTATGGTGAATTTTGTTTGTCTGTTGTCAGACAACTCATAATGAAGTATACCAGGTAACAACACCTGCTATACAACAAGGTCCTTGAATTCCTGAAAATATACCCAAGCGTTTGAGGAGGGAAGGTGATCATTTCATAATACAGTTTCCTTCAACTAAGAAGAAATTTGCTCAGAAGAGATGCATTGTCTGTGCGCAAACAAAACGACGGCAACAAAGACGCAAAGACACTCGGTTTATTTTTGACATTTAACAACCATTACTTGACTAATTACCTTTACCTGTTTTATACCACATTTACTATCTTAGAGTACTCTTAATTACCTTGTACTGCCATATAACCTCTAGTATAACTACCAGTGCAATATTGAATGAAATAAACATTACTTTTTCACTTTTGTAATC